CCCCCGAATTTACACCCCCCCGCCCCGCACTGTGAATGCTCTAAATGTACATTTTATTTTACATCTCCATGGTGGTGATGTATATTTACAACCTTTTACATCTCCCCATTAAAGACGATTCCGGTGACAAGGGGTGTATATTTAACATACACCCCCATATACACCCTCCCATTGTGGATGCTCTTAGGGTCATTGTTTCCAAGTATGGGAATCAAGTCCAAGGTTTAACTTTAATGTTTGGAGCCTTAAGTTCTTCTAGGGTTAAGTAGGTAGTAGAGTGGAATGGACGTTAATAACCTTAATTTGGTAATGCCCATTCCACTTTAATGTTTGGAGCCTTAAGTTCTTCTAGGGTTAAGTAGGTAGTAGAGTGGAATGGACATTAATAACCTTAATTTGGTAATGCCCATTCCACTATGTTGGGGGCATGAGAATGCCCATCCGTTATGCGGGTAATGCCCTTTCCATAACGATAATTTCAGATTCCATTTTAGCCAACCAAACACTACCTAATATATATTCCCTTGACTTGTTTAATGCAGACTCATCGACTAAACAAGCACATAAATGAGATGCGCAGATAACCAAAGCACCGAATCTACCTGAAACTCACACTTGAGTACTATAGAATGATCAATTTATAGCACACTTCTTCCAACTAGGCTTGCAAAAGAATACTTGAATCCCCTCAATCGCATACGGTAAAGAACGAGGCTGAAGCAATCATTTCCGATATTGAAATTTATCAAATATATATCCTGGGTAAAAATAGATTTAAAAGCATAGATGATGCTGAAAGGCGATTTAAATGTGCTAATCAGCATCCACTGGATTGTTGCTAATTGTGGATAATATGAGCTAAGCTTACTCAGGGAAAAATTTCGTGTTTTGGTATCCGCTAGTTTGTATCCCTCTGAAAAATATTACACAGTACAGAGAAGCCATATTCATTCAATCAAGTTTTGTTTACCAGGCCTAGCTTGAGCAGCACCCAACTCTCTTCAAAGCAGACACATCATCCTTTATATTTATTTTCTCTCCTTTTGCTGGGACAGAAGCTGTTCCATTTTCTCCTCCTTCGACCGCCTTCTTGCTCACAATATGGTAGATTTGAGTCAGAACTTCAGCAAAGGAATTTTCCACATTCTTTGCTTCCAGTGCGGATGTTTCCATGAAGTAGAGTGACTCCTTCTCAGCATAGGACTTTCCATCTTCAGTTGAGACAGCTACAAGGTGGCGAAGATCTGATTTGTTCCCAACAAGCATCACAACAATGTTGGAATCCGTGTGGTTCCTCAATTCTTTCAGCCATCTGTCAACATTCTCAAATGTCGCATGGCGAGTAACATCATACACAAGGAGTGCACCCACAGCCCCGCGATAGTAAGCACTAGTGATAGCACGGTACCTATGAAACCAAGAAGGAAGACTTGAGCGACACGTATGATAAGCTTTGCATAAAAATAAAAACATATAACAAAGGCATCACTAAGATGGAATACCATAAGCAGACTTCATAAGCTAGTATGAAGAACTTGAATCTTCAGCTAAGGGGAAATATTTTTTTGCCAGAGTTGATTGCAAGCCACAATCTAATTATTAAAATATTGCTGGAAATTTACCATTAGCAAAAGTAGTTTGATTAATATAATGATGCTCCAAGTTTATAAAATATAAAATCAGGCTTTAATAAGTAGCACCACCAACTACAATGCCAAGAAACAAGAAAAGCAATATCCATTAACGTCTTTTTTGGGTTGGAAAGCAATACTCATGAGCTTATAGTATTCCTTTTCTGAAATAGCATATGAACTACCATAACCACCAGATAAAATGTCAACAAAGTGAGACTAATAACAAGAAGCAAATAAGCATAGTTAGCAATAGCCCTCACACTGCATCAAATCTCAGTCATATAACAAGTTGTCATTCATATGGGCCGACTCATTGCAGTTTAACCACTTCGAACTTACCACGAAAAATGAAATTGCTTATGTTTTTTATAATTGATTCCCTAGTATTGCCTCTCAACTAGTTAACACCAACAACTATGCCTGAGGATCAAATGGAAATATCAAAAGAAAAAAACACTCTGCACCCTCCAGTTTTTAGTCCTTAGATTCTCACTGTTAAATAAATGTGGACAGATGTGTTGGCTTGGTCCTGCTTCTTCTAGTCTATCCTTCTCTGTCAACCCTTAAAACCCACCCTTGTAACGTGTTGTAGCCACCACCAGAAACTCCAGTCCAGAATTAAATACCTCTCTCTTTGATTCAATGCTTAGCAAGCACTAAAGGGGAAGTTACTATTTGGCAAGTAACTCAAGGGTAACTAAATCAATTTGGTTGTGATGCTACAGTGAAGATTTGATTGACCTCAGTGGGGAAAATCAGCCATGGGTAGGGAATGTGATATGGGGAAAGGATGAAGGTGAGGTGGTAGGAGGTTCCTAGTAAAATGTTGCAGCACTAGGTGTGGTCAATTTTTTCCAATTGCCATTGTTCTATATTTGGTTGTGCATAAATCTCTCTTTTCTCCTTTCTTTTTCTTTCCTATTTTCACTGACGACTTTGTGTAAAAACTCGCATTCATAATTCATTTGCTCGGTAAGTTTTATGTGTTGTGCTAATCCCTTGTTAACTGGCATTTGATTTACATAAAAGGGCATGTCAAAAGCTTCAAAATGAAGCATTTGTTTACTTTTTTAGTAATTCAGGTCTGACACTTAATCACTGAATTCAAGAAATCTCAGTCAAAAAATAGAAAACAATTCAAGAAGATCTGCCACCGCTGAAGCTGGAACCTCCCCAATCTGCAGAGTAGTATGAAGCATTCTTTTGCCGTATCTCAAATAAAGTTAAGAACAAAGCCTTAGCACCTACCACCACAAAGATATTGTCGGCTGGGACTGACAACCATTAACACAGCTTCTCTTTTTGTTTTAGGCATGGATCTCAACTAAATTGAACAAACCAAGATCTATCTAAAACCCACCTACCATTCAAATATCAAGCAAACCATAAAGAAAATCAAGATCAACGAGCCTTTGCACTAACAAGAGAGAGCCCAAACCTTCCCAAGCACACAAATTTCAAACGGAACAAACACAGAGCAACCATAATTGAACAAATCTGAGCTAAATATAACTACATAAAACAATAAACACCCAAATCTGTCCCTGAAATTCACCAAAACCCACAAATCCATGTAATCCCAACTGCGCAAGTAACCAAATGTACCCGAAGACAGAAATCAACCTTCACAAACCCAGAGAGCAAATCGGAAAACAGGAAAGACCCAGAAGAAAAAAGGCATAGAAGAAGAAGAGAGAGGACCTTTCTTGGCCAGCAGTGTCCCAAATCTGAGCTTTGATGACCTTTCCATCAACGTTCAAGGTCCTGGTAGCGAACTCAACCCCAATGGTGGATTTGGACTCGAGGTTGAACTCATTCTTGGTGAACCTGGAGAGCAGATTGGACTTGCCCACCCCTGAGTCGCCAATCAAGACCACCTTGAAGAGATAATCATAGTCGTCATCAGCTCTGTACCCAGCCATTGTTGCAGTTTTTAACTTTTGCTGTTAAAATTAGAAAAGAGAGAGAGAAAGAGAGAGAGAGGTTTGCTGAGAGCTGGAGCTTTCGGTGCACAGTGTAGTGGGAAGTAAGAAAGTGTTTTTAATTAAAAAAAGCGCCAGAAACTTGATGACAAAGGAAGTTGTACAGTGAGGGCACCTCCATGTAAATAACATGAGCTCCTCGTTCACACCACAACAATTACTAGCGATGAAACCGGGTTGGATATTTTGATTATGTTTGTCAGACTTCAAAGAGAACAGTTGTGGATTGAATCGAATTAAATCACAATCTGCGGTTCGATGGTTTGTTTGGCCTTTTTGAAAACACGCTAAACCGGACCGCCTATGTTCATTTTCTTATTAATTATCACAACTTTTTTTTTAATCTTGCACTTTTATATTAACCATTTAATATTTAAAATATTTTTTTTAATTATATATATATATATATAGTATGTTATTTCTCTTCTTTAGTATGAAATTTTCTTGACTGTTGTTCAATTCTCGTTATGGAATTCCAATTTATATATGTAAAGTGAAATCGACCCAACTAAAATGCTCACTAATGGATTGGTTGAGGCCTAAATCGAACTAATTCGCACTGTAGTAGAATATATATATATATATTATACAAGCGATATTCTACTTTAATAAAATCTAAACTACGGAAAGGGGAATTCGAACTCGAGTGCAGAATGAAGAGCACATCCGCTCTAGTCAATTTGATTAAGCCATGTATGTTATTTCTCTTCTTTACTATGAAATTTTTATTCAATTCTCGTTATGGAATTCCAACTTATATATGTAAAGTGAAATCGACCCAACTAAAATGCTCCCTAAATGGATTGGTTGAGGCCTAAATCGAACTAATTCGCATTGTAGTAGTAGATTTTTTCAGTTTGCAGATTGAGGCCTAAACCACACCATATCCACCCTTATAATTGCTCTTTTTTGTTTTTGAAAATTTTATTTTATTTTATGAAACTAATACTTCTTGTTAAGCGTATTATGTTGAGTGGTGAGGTAGATGATTTAAATTAGGCTAAAAGTCACTTTTGGTCCTTATAGTTTGGCACTTCAACTACTTTTGACCCTGTAATTTCAATTCCGTCAATTTTGATCATGTAGTTTCATATTTGTAGCAATTCAAGGACAAGTTAGTATTCCCGTCAATTTCTTTGACGGTGCAAAGGATAATTTCGTCAACCCAAAACCCTTGAGCATAAAAGCTCATGTGAAACTCTCCTAATTTCATATTAAAGCTTGAAATTGACTATTTGGGTTTAGGGTTCTTCAAAAATTGGGATTAGTAGTTGAATTTCGAGCCCTAATATGAAATGGGGAGAGTTTCAAACAAGCTTTTATGCTCAAGGGTTTTGGGTTGATGAAATTGCCCCTTGCACCGTCAAAAAACTTGTCCTTGAATTGCTACAAATACAAAACTACAATGGCAAAATTAACGGAATTGAAACTACAGGGTCAAAAGTGATTGAAGTGCCAAACTATAAGAACCAAAAGTGACTTGTACACTCTTTTTTATAAGAGCTTTTGTAAGACTAAAAGTTTTAAGGGTTAATTACTGTAGACGTCCGTGAACTATGGCCCCAGTTGCAATTGGGTCCGCGAACTAATTTTTGTGCCAATTACATCATTTAATTAGACAATTAGTTGCAATTGGGTCCTACCGTCCAATTCTGTTAATTTATCCGTTAAAATGAGGGGTAAAAGCATCCTTTCGGGTTAAATAAATAATATACAGTTTGTAAAACTGAAAAGAAAAACTAAAAAAACTGAAAAATAATAATAATAAATAAATAAATAAATAAACTTAAAAATAAAAAATCCAAATCCAAATTCCTCTCTCTCTCAGCTCTTCCTCTCTGTCTATCCCTCTCTCCTGCAACCCATTCCCCCTCCTCCTTAGTCCACCCCCTCAAAACCCAAATCCAATTGCAATTGCAGGTTTTTTTTAAAAGTTTTTTTTTTACCTTCGTCTCTCTCTCTCTCTCTCTCTCTCTCTCTCTCCCTCTCCTATTGCTCTCTGCTTCACTTCGCCTTCGAATTCACTGAACGATCTGAGCTTCTGGAAATTGGATTGCATTCGTTCTTGATTTCTGGGCTTCATTTTTACTTCAACAAAGATTCAGTCTTTTTCCAATTTCGGAAGATAAAGAAAGGGCCTTTGCCTCTTTCTCTGGTCTTCACTGTTTAGGGTTTCTGATAGCTTCTGATGGCTTCCCTGGGCTCCGCCTCATACTGGTGCTACACATGTAGCCGATCGATTCGGGTTCGGATCCGGGCCCAAGACTCGATCCTCTGCCCCGATTGCGGCGCCGGATTCATCGAAGAGATCCAGACCCCGACCCGATCTCCGCTCCACCACCCATTCCCCACCGCCGCGATGTTCCTCGATAACACTCCAATTTCGCAAAGCCCGAGCCCGCCTAATCTCCGCCGGAGCCAGAGAAGCAGCCGCGATCGCTCACCGTTCAACCCGGTTATTGTCCTCCGAGGCCCACCTGACACCGAATCCGACCCGGGCAGCTTCGAGCTTTACTACGATGAAGACCCAATTGCAATTGGGGCCATAGTTCACGGACGTCTACAGTAATTAATCCAACTTTTTAAGTCTTAAATTAGGTCCATATTCTTTTTGCTCTTTTCACTGTTTTTCGATCCACAAAATTGTTTAGGTAGATGTAATCCATGTAACTTGCATAATTTAAAGCTGTTTGAAACTAAGATAATGTGGTCGACAAGACAAGGCAAGCTTTAGTTAAGTGCTACTCATAATAATTCATGAAGTTACAGAAAGTTGTGATGACAAATGTCTTTTACAATATATGTTATAGATGCGAATGTGTTGTCCAAGAAACGAATCATTACCTTTTTTGTGTGACTAAGGATGTATTGTTTGTTTCCGTTTAGAGACCTATGGAATGGACCCATCTCTAACCATTTGCACTTTAGTCATTTCAAAATTCGAATTGTCCAGTCTTGTTAAACACATCTATATTACTGGTTCTTAAACACAAAAGAAGAAGAAAAAATTCAAGGAGACGAATCGGTTCAGCATGAAAAGGACACATGTATATATCTATGTTGTGTTGGGTCAAAATATCCAATAAAGTTTATGCATAACACGAGAAATTTTTATATTTGACGATAACATCACGTGACGTTAGTATGGAGTTGAGATATCTTTGTACTTTTAAATATAATACTGAGAATCCCCGAATTCTATATGGTCTTCATTTGCGTACACCAAACTTTAACTTTTTTATGCCACAAATATCAAATGCTTTTTAAACCAATCTGTGAACCCCAAAACCAAATGAGACCCTCAAACTCAAACCATACTACTCATGTCCCACCATAATTGCATGTCCCTTCTCTTCCCCAATCCCCATCCTATGTTTTTCCATCTCAGAAACTTCTAAAAGCCTCATAGCCCTCTCTCTCTCTCTGTCTCTCTCTGGTGTGCTTCTTCTACTTTCTCAATGTCCATGTCTGACCCTTCTTCACCTGCCTCATCAAACTTGGACAGCACTGCAGATTCTTCAAGCAGTGCCAGTACTACTCCAAGTATTCAAATGGTTTCGAAGTCGGTATCCGAAAGGCTACTGGGGAAGTTCTTTGATGCCTCCCAATACGATTTTGATTATGAGCAGAGTGGCCTGTGGTCTCCTCCATTGCGCCGGAGTGTGTTCTTGGACTCACCGGGCAATATAATCATATCATGTTGTGAAGAGGAAGAAATGTTCTGCTACAACAAACTCAAAAATGCCAAGATGGCTTGGCCTAGACGCTTCTTCTGTTTGATCACTGTAAGTTCTTTGCTTTCTCTGATCTCTATTTGTGTGCAGATACTTTTCTTGTTTCTTTTTTATTTCAATACATAAAATTATTTGCCTTATATTTCTTGATCATATGTTGTTTTATTTCTTGTTGCAGGCCTTATGGTGCTCCCCAAGGCAATAGCTTGATACTCTCTCCATGCTAATTACAATAGTTATTGATTTTTGGTTGGTCTTGTACAACTTATGATTTATCATCACCAGATATATCTTTATATGTACTATTTATTTTTGCTTTTATAGTTATTGATTTTTGCCACTAGATGCTTCCAATCCTTGTACAATATATATACCACTTTTCTTAGATTTTGTATACACAATGTGTATAAATACACAATTGTGTATACATTATACATATACATGAAGAAAAAAAAAATACTTGACCGTTTGAATGTTCTATCCTTTAGAAATAGGTGCAGGGTGCTTCGAAATTTATTAATGGAAAAAGTCATATGTCTTGGTAGCAAGATTTGAATGATACAGTGACCCATCAACCAGACATGGGCTGCACTTCATGCTAGCAACAGGAATTTCAGGCCTGCACTGCATGTGTCTTGTGCTGAGGCCACAGGTTTGCTTTTGGGTCTTGAGGACTCTGCAGACTGCAGCACAAAATTATTAACGGCTCTTTCTTTATAAAAAAAAAACTTGAAATAGATTCCCTTCCTTCCCTTACTTTTGGGGTTGATCAGATTTGGTCCTTCCTTGCTAATGGAACTAAGGTATATAGATAGATGCTCTTTCTTACAACGTGTGCCAGAACAGTCAGACAGATCTTCTGCTTTGCCTTTTCTTCTCCTTCTTCTTGTTCCCTTTTACTTTTTTTGCCTGTCTATCAATATATTTTAATCTTAATTAAACTCTTTATGCACATGTTTCGCTGACTAGAAAAATGAACGTCTTAGAGTAAATTGCAATCGAGTTTGTGTTTTATATAAAATCATGAAGGAGCAGCATAGCTTTTTTCTTGTAATATACACGATAGCCTAAACTTAAGGGGGAGGGGGTTTTCTCTCACACACACTACCGAGGTGCCATAAGGGTTCGAACCTGAAGGAGTAGCATAATTAAGAGCCATCTAACAGGCTTGAACACTTAAAAGTCACCCTACAAAGCAAATTAAGCTGACAGAATTAAGGCCTAATTAATAAGGGTTCGAACTAGAAGGAGTAGCATAATTAAGAGCCATCTAACAGGCTTGAACACTTAAAAGTCACCCTACAAAAGCAAATTAAGCTGACAGAATTAAGGCCTAATTAAACTTCAAGCAATCCCCAAATTTATTATTTGCTTAGTGATACTAACACTGTCAGTTTTAAGTGGAATTTTTTACTGATACTCAGATCTCGATAAAGTATCTTTTCCTTGGTTTTTATTTCTTTTTTTTTGCAAAATAAAATATCTTCAGGTGTTGTATTTTGATTTGAACTTGTGGATTGGCTTGACCATTCACTGGTTTGGCAGACTGTCCCCATGCCGTGCTGGGTTTTGGTTTACTGGTAATGCATGGTTAATTAGTCCACTCTTTTGTTTGGTTTTTTAGCAATGGCTTTGCCTTCAATAGCATATTGGTTTCTAGGTTGCTGGTGCAGTTGGTCTATTATTTTGAATTTGCAGTCATGCTTAGATGACCTTAGTGGAATTTTTAACTGATACTCAGATCTCGATAAAGTAGCTTTTCCTTGGTTTTTATTTTTTATTTTTTGCAAAATAAAATATCTTCAGGTGTTGTATTTTGATTTGAACTTGTGGATTGGCTTGAGCTTGACCATTCACTGGTTTGGCAGACTGTCCCCATGCCCTGCTGGGGTTTGGTTTACTGGTAATGCATGGTTAATTAGTCCACTCTTTTGTTTGGTTTTTTAGCAATGGCTTTGCCTTCAATAGCATATTGGTTTCTAGGTTGCTGGTGCAGTTGGTCTATTATTTTGAATTTGCAGTCATGCTTAGATGACCTTAATGGATTTGCTGGTTCTAGTTAAGCCGGCTTTTTATTCGGTTTTGCTGCAGCTTGGACTCCTGCTGCCTGCTGCTCAACTCTGCCTAACGTTTGGTTTGGAGTTGCAGAGACTTGGTTTTTGTCTAGTGTGCAGTTGGTTTGGAGGGTCACATTGATCTCTTAGAGTTTTGCAAACAAAAGAAGAAAACTGAAGAAAACTAGGTGTACTTGAGTAAAGAGCACAGTGGTTTAAGGCTATAATGTGATATGACAAATATGGATCAAGTTTAGACCCAACACATGCATACATAAACATCACAAGAAGTTGAAACCAAGATATATTAATTTAAGGGAAGAATTAACTGATTCCAAAGTTGATATTTATAACAAAGATTTAATTCTAAGCATAAAGCCCACCTAGAGATGAACTATATCTAACTCAAACAGATTAAAAAGAAAAAGAAAAAAAAGAGGTTATATACACAAATAACTACCTAACTTGCTTTCAAAGGTAAAGTTGAACTGTCCATTTTGAGCAGCTTTAGTCCTTGAAATTTGATGTGAGAGAATTAGATGAAAGAAACATAAAAAGAGAACTGATAGTAACAAATTGAAATCAAGGTTACCTATGTGTTTTCCATTAACAAAAGCATGAAGTGTGTGGCCACTGGTATTCACTCGTAGTGTAATCTATTTGTTACCCCAAATGGGATCAGCTGCATTGTGATCCAGACTAGCACAAATTTTTTCATAAACAGTCAGCAACTAAGCTACCTTTTAATTGAGGTGATAGAACATGGTAAAAAAAAACCATCAGAAAAGAAAGCTTTACCTTGTAATATACCACAAGTAATCACTGGTGTCATTTGTTACTATTTTCTGATCAAGAAGCTCATTAGCAGTCAGATTGCTATGCAGAACTGAGCCATTTTTTCTTGATGTGTGTAAAGTGCTCAGGCTTCCAACTCCACTTTAATGAGTAAGGCTCCTCACCATCATCAGCTTCATTTCGCATCCTCTCCATTACTGATATTTGGGTATTAACCTACATAAAATTCAAAAAATTATCGATATCGTTTATAATCAATATCTCTGTAAAGTCTAGCAAAACTGTTATGTGAAGTACATCACATTTACCTTTGCAGTGTTGTAGGCTTCAGTGTTGCAATCTGGAAGAATACTGACAGACCAAGCAGGAACCCTATACCTTTTATTGGCAAATTAATAATGGCATTTTTTGTTTCATTTGCATTACCAAAGAAACAGACTCTAGTTCCATTAAAATTATATTCTGATGCCTGCAACACTGAAAAGAAGAATATGTTTTAGTGTATGGAATATAAGTTAGCCTCACAGGGTAGTAATCATATATCTCTTTTTCTTCTATAAATTCAATAGCCATTAAGTCTCACCTCCATCATGTTTCCATAATCAATTTTTCTTACAGAGCCATAATTCAGTGTCCTCTCCAATGATCTAATGAGAACATGAAGCTTTTGAAGATGTCCCCACTTGGGTTGCTTCAAATTACGTATTGGCGTTGTTATTAAAGAGGATCAATTGGAAAAACAAATACAAAGCTTGTTGACACCATAACTGACCAAGCAACTAGAAGACTAGAAGGAACTCTAAGCAAAGCAAGAGGAGTCCCACATCGGAAAACAACAAGAAGTGAAGGCTCCCTCTCACCTATAAAAGCATACCACTCTCCACTTAAGAGAGGATCCGAAACTGAGCTGGGTTCCCTCTTCAGGACTCTCCTATTAGTCTGGCCTCCGAGTCCTGGGTCTCCAGACCCGGGGACTTGACACCTGGGCTCCAGACTCCTAACTTTGTACCTTAGGCCCTAGGCCTTCTTCCAGTTATCTTTGGGTCTAATCCCCTTGTACAAATGTAAACAATATCATAATGAGAACATCTTCTCTGTGGACGTAGCCCATTCATTAAGGGTGAACCACATATATCTTGTCTTTTGTATACTCATAAATTGGCCAAGTCCTCACATACATGCTGAAGGTCCAAACCTTCACCCATCAT